TTCGGTAGCTTTACATGACACAGGGAAATGACCAACATCTCCACACCAAACAGTATTCCCTTTGCACAAAGGAGCAGACTTTTTCTTTTTTTTTTTGCATTTTTAGAGATGCATGACTTGAGTCAAAATAAGGAATATTCTTTTGTGTGAATGATAACGGGTGCATTTATGCAGCTCATTAATCAGTTTTGTCTGCTGCTGTAAGCACAGCAATGAAGAATGGGTGATTTTCTGCTAAGCAATACGTGTACACGGATAGTGTTCACAGAAGCTGAAAAGTGACCTTTTTGAAGCAAACTTTACCCCCTCCCCCCCCAAATTTTTCACTCTTTTCATCTGGAACAAGCTCACCATGAAAAATTAAAGGAAGAAAAATTGTCCGCCTTGCACGTTCTTCATGAATACACATGAACACATGGTTAAATCCAACTTGGGGAAAATTGTGCTTTTCTGTAGCTCTGCATTTTCAACAGAAAAAGAAAAAGAATTGCCCATGTAAGGGTTAAGAATAGACCTCTCTCAGGGATTCAACATTTAAAGTTTGAAGTATCTTTATGGTCCTGTTGATTTTGGCCTGCTGTTTGATTGGCAATGAGGAAATCTAATAACAGTTGAAGACAATCTGTCACAATTAGACACAAAAGGAGTGTAATGGAACATTTCCTGCAGTGTGCTTTAAAGCCCAACAACTTTATCACAGCACATAAGTCTGCATGCACATGTGCAGTCGCAACAGGGATATGCCAATGTTGTAAGGAATGGGATTTGGATTTGAAAGGGAATACTCATTCACTACAGTTCAGTGAATTGATGTTGGAATTTTAATATTGGACATGTTGGCATTGACTGCCTTTTTTTGTGTTATGTAAACTCTAGAATTCTTTGAACATGAGCTCTCTACATGGTGTAGAAGGCTTCTTGGTGAAAAAGTTTCTTATCTTTTTGAGACTGAGTGCTCATCTCCTCACATCAAGGTGCTGTAAAAAAAACGTACCAGAGTCATATACACCATTTTAAATCACCTTTAAGAGAGGAAATTGAGTAGACAGCAGCAGCATCATCGCGGTTAATTTAATCCTCAAACTTAATTAAACTTGTAAGGGATGTACCAAAATGGCAATAGGAACCAGGGCAGTAACCAACCAGACAGGTGTTGAGCTGTGAGGAAGCTGGGAGGTTTCCCTTCATTTACCTCTCCAGGGTGTGCCAATTTAGAAAAGGAACCCAGTGGATGTACCCACCTAAGGAGCACCTGAGGGCTCAGGCACGTGGGCTAACTTTAAATAAAAATCCACAGACCACAGTTGCTGCATCATCCACTTCCCTGACTGTTTAAGGAGGTTAATGGAGAAAAACTTTGGAAGATGGGAGGTTTTGGTCACAGGGGGATTCTTCAAACTTTTCAAGATGGTGACTGAGACGGAAACAAGCGGATGTATTAGATGAGAGAAACTGCTGTGCAAACATACTCTTGGCCAAATCCAGACACAGAGTCCAGTGCTTTCTTCCCTCTTATTTGTCGAGGCATGGCACCAATCCACTGAGTGATCTATAAACTAGATTTCCCTGCCAAACCCTGGCCCCAATAAGCCAATGATTGTAAGACCCCCCTTCTTGATAAAGTACAAGACTCCCTGCTTGTTGTTTGCATTGGCCAATCATGCTGATTTCATAATTCCCAAATAATATCGGCCCTCATGATACAGTCTCTTGCAATCTGGCACCAGCCAATCATGGCAGCCATGAACAAGACGGGTTGATTTCAAAATAAAAAATCTTCATTATGGAGATCTTTTTTTTTCCATCCTCCCTTTTTTCTAGAGCACCATTACGGTACATGTACACCTGAGCCAGAAAGCCTGGGCAACAAGCAAGGCCCGAGACAACGGTTGGCAACTATGGAGAGGCTTGGAGCCTGCCATGTCTTCCCAACCCTCCTGCACGCACACTGGTAGACGCGTTTTGTTTGTTCGGCTCTTGAGAAGTCGTTACTGGTTAGACATTACGGACCCAGGATTAGGTGAGATGCACTGTTGATGACCCTTGAACATGATACAATGTCCACCAGTCTCTCACTTTCCATCATCTTTTTTTACTTTCTTCCTTTTCATTTCACTCCCTCAAGATTATGGCTTTCTGATCAATAGCCCTTGCCCAATTGTAGACTTTGTATCTTTGTACTATCACTGTTATGACACGATTTCACACACGTTCATTTATGACTGATGGACATATCTATCACTATTAGGAAATGGCTGCCATGATTGAGTGGGAATCATGCCCACTGGTTTTTCAGGAATGATTCCGAGAGCCATGAGAAACGGCAAATGTTAACACAACATCACACTTCCTTCTCAGATTAAGAAAGAAAACACCGTCTAGGGGAGGGTAAAAGCTTTCACCATTGTCTGACGCACTTTTCTCCTGTTCGTGACATACCTGTCATCAGAGCCGGCATATTGTTAAGTAACCATTCCTTACCCAACCAGCCGTTTTGTCTCCAGCTATTTATTCCTTTACAAGTACCTGTGCCTGATCATCGTCCAACCAACTGAAAACATTTCCCCCTGCGTCATCCCATGGAGGCCCACCTCAAATTTGCCCTACTTTTGAAAGGCTTTAACATGAAGGCATACCCCCCTTTACTCAGTCAAAAAATGAAGCACCACATATTATCCTCTGTGTCTGTGACAGACTAAAGTTAGTGAATTGATTCTGTGTAAAGTTTTAAGACTCGCTTCGAGCAAGCATTGTCAACCGAAATTACACGATGGTGAATCTGTTAAAATTGGAGTTATAATGTAATGCCACGTCTGATGAGTTTATTCAACCCCACTTGAAAAATCCTAATGCCTAACACAATCTAAGTAGCAAACCAATAATAGATGATTGATTGGGTTGAAAACTGACCACTTCATTGACTATCTGAATTAAACAGATCAAATTTGAAAACAATTAGGTTTCTTTTTCAAACCCCATTCAATTACCCTTTCTAAATGGTAATTTCTTAATAAAACTCTCCTGATCAAAGTTATAGTGAGCATTTAGAAAATAGATGTCTGTTTCCAAAAATGTAACACTGACAGCTGTTCAGTTTGCCTCTTTAGCAAGAGTGGGTTTAAACTGAAGAATGAGGTCAAACAATGAATCATTCCTTCAACTTTAGTGTGAAGTTGTGGACACTGCTATTGTATCACTTTGGCACAGGAGCATACAGGCGTCCATGACATTCAGGCGAACTGCATGATTCTGACGGGAACTAGTCATCTTCACAGAGATACGTGTATCTCCACTCGGTTCAACAGTTGTTAGTTTTTTGTTTTGCACACCCAGCACACATCACCAATTGTAAAATAATGTATATTGCTTGATGCTTAGAAGTCTGCACTTGAACTATGGAGAGTTGACTTCTGACACTGGAATTAATCCAGGGACATATATAGATTACCATGATAAAACCTCACACATTTTGGCATTTTCTTCAGTTTCTTGTAAACAAATTGCCACTGTCATTGGTAATTAATATTGTTAAGCTGTGGGATGCACAAAAATTTGGCTGATTAGTCAGTGAAAAGGTGTTAATTCGGTACTGCAACAGGAAGTGGTTGTTTCCTGTGATAAAATGTCTGCTAGTCCCGAAATGTGTAACCCCCAAGCGCTGTTTTGTCTGGCCAACCGTCGATCTGAAACACTGTGACACCATTTCCATGCGTGGACTCCTTTTATCATGGAGAAAGTTATTTTCACAAGATGAAAAAGAATAGCTTAAAGTCAACATTTTTTTTCAGTTCCTTGAAAATGAACTTCAAAAGGCTTTTAATCCAAAGTGTTTTCAGTTGTCCATGCAAAGTCAGAATTCCATGTAAAACTAATTTATATCTTTCAGTTTTAGCACGTGTAAAACCTATCTTTGAGTGAAACAAACCCTATGCATTTTAAATTTTGTATCACCTGTGGCTTCAGCCATGCATGATGTTTTAATAAATCAAAACATTTTCCATGAAACATCTTGGCCATAATACAAGTTTAAGGTTGTTATGATTTAATCAGTTAATTACTCGGCTGCAGTTTAGCTCTGGGGAAATCTTCCTCTAGTCAGTGTTCAAACTCCCCTCCTGGGACCCCTTCCCCAACACCACGAGCATCAATTCAGGAGACAAGTCTGGGGTACGAAGGAAGGCGACTTTGAAACAAATCCATTGCACGGTACCTGCCTTGAATCTTAAACACCCCTCAACCATTAACTACAGCGACCAGCCGGGCGTAATGATGCAGAGCGCGTTAGCAGAAGTGCAAACTACTTTCTGCCTTTAGATTTATCAGCCTTAATTACTCATTAATAACTTCTTTTATTCTAATCTAGCCTACCGTCAGGCTGTCTCCTTGATTAGCGCGGAAGATGAGGCGAAGAAGAATTTGCCAGGACAGCAGGCGCGGGAGTAAGATCGTTACTGTCGCCATCCCCTGGCACCAATAGTACAGGTACGGGGTCACTCTTGTATCTCATTGGCAAGGTTTGGCCTGCACGGCACAGTTGTTGTGTTAACTAAACTCTGTCGCAGGTAAATAATGCATTGCAACATATCGTGATGATCCCAGGTGAGATGGGCAATTGGTTTGCGACACTGTCCTGCCTGACCTAGTTATAAACTCTCGCAGTTGAGTGATATGATTTAGCACTGCTACATTGGCAATAAAAAATTGTTGCAGTAAAATTGTTCCCATTACAGCAATACCATCTAATTTTAGCACCGCTTCTGACTCACAGCAATGCACATTTCACTCTATTCTTTAACGTTAGTTTACTGTCGCCATTCTGTTAATGAGTCAATATGCTGATTGATCATTTCATAACACACTTTCAGAAAGTCACAACATTCATTCCTCAGGGCAAAATCACAACTGTTGTTACAGTCATGTTTGATGGGTTGAAAACATACAGTACTAATCTAAAAACTGCGAATAATAGAAATTGTTGTTTTTTCTAAAAAAGGGCCTACCTGTACTTTGGCACCTCAGATCTGCAGGGGATGCAAAGTTGAAAGATGTGATGAGACAACATCCAGACCATGAGGAGAAGCAATGTGACAAACAGTAAGAACAAATAAAAATAAGAATTAATCAGGGCCTGTCTGGAATTTTGGTAAGAACAGGTTCACAAGAAAGGGCATCTTATAAACATGTCATCCTCTCTGGTCTCAGAATATGCCATGTTAGCCAAGAATACTTGAGGAGTTGGCATATTGTTGGTGAGGAAAACAAATTTTTCCATTTAAGGACAAGTTAGTTTTTCTGTCATTTTCCTCAGCCATGTTTCAACATACATATATGGGCAGTCAACATCACTATGGCTTTGCACAAATCTCAAGGGGAAATGGAACCGCATTGCACCAGTATTTTGCAAGTGTTCAGGTAGTCTAGGTGGTGTCGCGGTAAAAAAGGAAAACAGTGTCACGTGCGGTCGTCAAAAACAATGCAGCTCTTCCTGAACTTGGATATCAACTTTTCCCTGACCATGTTCTGATCATTATATAAACACATATTGCGAAATATTGGCAGATATTTAAAAGTGCATCAGAAGAGGCATGCAACCTATAACATACCCCAAACAGTGAGAAAAGTACTAAATGATAATTACAAATATATTTACAATGGAAAATAAACCTTTTAAAATTGAAAACAGCAATACATGCATTTTTGGGGGGAAATACTGGAGCAGTATTTTTAACAGCAGATCAGATAATATTGTTGTCTGGTATTCAAGATTCTCATAATAAGTACATTCTTCCCGCCTGCGTAAACTTTGTATGAGACCGCTTTAATCATCTTTTCAACCAATGTGAACTGTGAAAGTGCACAGTCATTAATAACTAATTCACAAAAAATCGACAGTCATGTTAATGACTACCATACGTAAGCAATCAGTTATTCATGAACACGTGCCTCACAAAAATTTGGGGATTTTCCATACAGGTTAAACTCAAGTCGCGTACACAACCCGTTTTCGTCCACCACCATCTGAGCGCCAGTGTAACCAATACCTTTGCAAACTTTCCTGCCGATGGGCAGGATAAAATAGTTTGACACTATCTAGCGACATGAGGCATTGTGGAGATGTTTCATGAAGTCGCACCTCATTAATTCCTGCTGTTATTAATGAGATCAATGCCTCTGATTTTTCCCCTTGAGTCGGAACATCCAGTAAATGCAACACGCGCAGTGGCGGTCTCCTTTGACCGGTCGAATTCTACAATCGTCCCCCAAGGTTCTCAGGATACAAACTCAAATATTACCAGCTTGCCCGAGCGGATCCACGTGGAAGCCATATTATTACTCATATATACGCGGTTTAGAATCCACGATGGTGTCATCTTTGTTTCCCTCACGGTGACTGATGGAACTACCTGATGGTGCAGAAGCGGCTGTAGTGTAGGCGGGTTATCTCAGGGCAAAACGCTTTTGGTTAAATTTATATCTTAAGCAAGACGTGGATTGTGGCCGAGGACTAGGTGTCCAATGTTCCAACACACCGGGGGAAATCAAATACCACGTCAGGGCCGAGAAGAGTCACCCATTTCTCTGCAGCAAGTGAGCAACTGGCACGGGACTAGAAAATATATACCCCTGATAAGGTTTACGCTTTATTGCGAGAACACAGCTTTTCCGAAAAATTTCAAAATCAAGTGGCGAGGGGACTGCAACTTTCTATTTTTAAGTATCCTGCCTTTCACCTTACGAATCTTGTTTTCACCTTAACAAGCGCTATTATGCCGTCCCTTTCGAGTCGCACTACAATACAGACGGGTACATATACTTTTATGGAACTGTTAACCTCAATGTGACCGCAAAGCGACGTTTCCGAAGAAAAATGTGAATTTCCAGAAAAAAATTACCTGATGATATTTGAAACACCTGACTTGAGTGAAAGGGTAATTTTTATTTTCTGCGAAGGAAAGACGGCGTGTCTCGATGTTTGGGTCAAAAGAGGCGGCGTTTTGAATTTCTGCTATTAACAGCAGAGCCGTAGCTTGAATACGTAGACAACGAAAGCTTCAGACTACTCTATCTACAATGAACACACCATTCCTTAACTTCAAAAGATTAGACCGATAACATTGTAATATTCTTCCATTTAACTCATAAATGGAAATGGTGCAGCTCATGGCGCATATTTTTTGAAAAAAGGTTTTGTTGTCGTTTAATTGATGAATGGAAACTCTCACCACGTTAAGAAATGGTCGAGTCGAGTAACGGTTATACAATGCAACACAAACGCAACACAAAATAGTTAACGACCATGACGCGTCACCGAACTTGGCCGCTAGAAAGTTTCAGGACCTACGGGCCTTCTGCAGGCGTGTCGCCCAACTTGCTGCGTCGGTTTTGAACCGGTAGTCGTGCTCAGACAGCAGAACAGGTACATTTGGTTGATGAATGGGAAAAACAAGTTCAAAGTTTTCTTATTGATTTCCGGTTTCTCAGACAGCCGCCTGCTTATCGCTAACGCACATGTGCTGATTTGAACATTTAGCTGTATCTACTATCTACCAACACCTTGACTGAGCTCACCTTCATTCAATAAACAAAAAACCGTGAAGATTGTCTGCCGCTTAATTTCCTCTGCGTACAAACATCAACTTCCTGGCGCAGCGATAGCCCTGGTGGGTTCTTTATTCCACTTCTGACTTTACAATGCGTCCATCGCCTTCAGCTCCCAAACTAAGCACACTGTGCTTTCGAAACGACGGTAACTGAAAGCTACTGTATTACATGTGGACCAACAAACTGGTCTATATTAAACTGGTTTCCCAACTTCAGGGTCAGGGTAATCGAAGTACAAGTACAACTGGTGAAAACTGGTGCGATTATTTCACCAACGGGGACATTATATATACAAAAGTCACACCGTCATGTCTAGGATGCGGGGAAATTCCGATTCCAAGTGTTAACATCAAAATAAATGATGTCACCGGGAGACGTTGCACTCTGCCCGGTTTCTCTGAACACTTTCGATTGTGGTATAAGCCGAGGAAACAAAACATATATATTGTGAGGTACCATGCGTAAAAAAATCGCGCAGCGTGAATCCTGTGTCGCACGCATACATTTAAAACGTTTCTTTATCATTCTGACTACATACTCGGTAAAATTAGAGAGATTTTTAAACCATTCGGTTGGAATGGGAAGTGCAAAATTTAAAAAAAAAGAGAGAATTTTGTCTTTTTATAAGAACAGACGCTAGTAAAATCGGGAACAAGGAAACATTAATGTTGCCCGAGCGGAAACAAAAGTAGACAAGGTTGAGTTTCTGATAATGCAAACTGGTTTCCATGGTCTGGAGGTTATTGGGAGCCACGACACCGACACCTTATCATCACGTTCCAGCACAAAGCTCTGGTATTTCCCCGGATGCAGAAACCACATCATCACCTTGTGGAACACCTTGGAGAGTTGTAGGGAAGGTATAGGCCGTGCGTAGAAGAATCTTGTTTTTCAGTGTCTTTACCGAGACTATCACCTGGTCCGGCCATTAGCGGTCGGCATTGATCTTGGATTAGAAGAGCGCTTCACCGGCAGCCGTACTGAGTGATGAACGCCCTGCATACACATGTACTTTGAAAAACCAGATCTTCACTGCGCCCCGCCTTTGACTAAAAGCGTTCTGAATTTTAGCCAAGGTAAATAAACACTTCTGTGTGGACCATTCAAAGTGTTGAGTTTTTAATACTCTGGTGTTTACGAGCATTCTGGAGTTGGGCTGCTGGTTTAAGCAACCGACTTATTTGTTCAGATGGTTCGTCGATACGCGTGATTCGAAACAAGCAATGATACGAACATGACATTGGTTCTCACGAACAACATCAACCACCAGCATTTCTTGCAAAAATATAAACACCCATCCGAGTGTTTATTTTCAGTCTTCACTGGACACACAAGAACTCTGTACCTGGACTCTGGAGTCATTGCGTAGTCTGAAAAGATGGTGTTGTAGTGGCAAAAGAGACAGCTGAACGCATATGCTACAGGTATTCGACAAACCTGGACAGTCATGAAAGGCAAATCTCATGGTAAAAACAGCGGAAGAGTGTTGGAGGACTATTTCGTCATCGAAATTCATCAGTGGAGCTGGCGTCAAAAGACACCAAAAGACCGCAGACACAAAACAAAACGAAAAACGCCCAATGAAAAAATAGGGCGTTCAAATGGAACTAGAAGTGTTGGTGTAATTATTCCCTTGAGGCGATTGCAGCAGACTGCGTGGGGTTCACACCACACCACATGTACACCGAGTTGTTCCATACATGATGAAAAATCGAACTCCTAACAACCCAAAAAACAAGACGAAACCATCCCAAAGAACAATTGATTTTTTTTCAAAACAAGAGTTTTTGTGATGGCCAAGTCTTCTCATCAGTCTCCTTGGATTAAACACAAACTCCACTGTGCACAAAGAAATAACTGCACATTACAGACCTAGTAACCTGCATCCTTGACAGCACAAGAACCTATGATGGAGTGTATTTCACTCCACTAAAACTAGCAACACCCCCAATACCATATTTGAACATCCAAATCATTATCTTACGCACCGGAGCGCGGACGGCATACCTCGGCTGTTATGCTATTACATCTCCATCCACGTTCGCAGGTGTTGCCTAACCGAGCCTGCATGGCGCACCAGAGACAAGATAAGGACAACATTTCGGGCATTCGGGCCAGATGCCTTATCGTTATCACTAGTTCGCGTGGTATAGGCCTACAGTACTCCTTCGCATTAGTGCCATCTGGCATTATCACCTTTTCATTTGGAGGTGGGCATGTCGGTGTATAGGGATTAGGAAAGCAAAATGGGCTATTTCAAAATAATGTCTAACTTTAAACTTTTGTTTGCTTTTCCCACACAACTGAAATAATTATGTAGGCCAATTATTAAAAAGGCGGATAGACTAATTTCGGTAAGTATATGACATCGCTTTAACAGTGATGGGAAACCACCCCAGTGAGGACACTCCCAGGAAAA